AAATATTCCGCAAAGTTCAGATGTTAATGCCGATATTGTAAACTACTTCTTCTGATGTGAATCTTCACAGATGCACAAAAACTATTTAGTAGGAAAACATATATTTTTCTTGGATGTAAACATATTTTTTGTACATCTGTGAGAAGATCACAACAGAAGAATAGTTGTAGTATGTGTTGTATTTGAGTGAAGAAATTTTAGCTTGATTACTTGATGAAACTTCTCTTCTGTTGTTTATTTATAGAATTAGTAGAGAGTGACTACTCATGTTTCCCCATGTGTTTCACATTTCCCAAAAGTCTTTTCTAATTAAAACATATTAACTAACATTTGAATCATTTATCACAAATTCTCATAGAAAATGCATTTCCAAATAAATGAATACATCTTCATCTATATTTGATAAAATATTCTCTGTTCAATATACATTTTGGAAAATAGCTTAAAAATAGAAAATTAAGGTATGTACTCCGAATTAAATGTATTCTTCATCTACACTTTCTTCATTATACATGTAATTATATATAAATTCCATGAATGAGTGATAAATTATATAGGCTATAGTAGCATATAGGTGTGTTATATCTTTATAATGCTTACATGCATATTAATAAACTGATAATAATCCGTCATGGTTAAATCATACCATAAGGGTTAATTGCATGCAATAACAATTTTAATGCAAATAAATAAATAAATGTATGCTACAATAATAGACTTATAAAATAATCAACTGCAAAACTCAATAAGCTTTTATTAATAATCTTAGCGACATAAGCAAATGTTTAACGTATAAAATAACATAAACCTAAGAATGATTAAAATAAAAGAACAAATGCATGATAAACATCGGAAAATATTCAACAAAACGTTGAATAATGATAACGAAATAAACATGAGAATATAAGAATTCAAATCATCCTATTTTTGGTTATATCACGCCCATCCACTTTTCCAGATCCATGTGCGCGAGCGAGTCCCTTGTCATCCACTTCGAACATTTTACTTGTATGACGTTTGTTGATTAAAACACCATCAACATACAAGCTTTTCGTATTCATATCAAACGCCTTTTCATTTGCATCTAGATTTTCTTCATTACTGGAAATATTGCAAGACTTCTTTGAAGAGAGAGATGAATCGAATGACTCTTTACATCATCTCGCTCACGCTTAGATAAAGGAGTATCGATATATCCGATATATCCATTAACCTCATCAGAAGGCTCTTGACTCAGCGTGTTTATCATCGACACCTACCAGGTTTAAAGATAAAGATTAACATAAAAGAACAAAAACCGTGTATAAATATATACAAAATATTATACACAACCCAAGTTTACTTTTTTGAAAATATACCTGATTACTAGACATGAGCAAACTCTGATCACCAATATCTTCGAATTCATTCACCTCATCAGCGGTCAAAACATCATTTCATTTCCAAACCTTTTCGACCTTGTATGTATTACTATCACCGTAGAGATTTTCTTTCTCAACACAAATTAGAAACTGAAAAATATTCCCAACCAAATTTTGCAGTGCATCAGAAACGACATCTGGATCTTGTATCTAGGTTTAAAACATAAAGAATATTTTAAACAAACGAAGTCTTAACGCAATACCTAAAGTTGTATTATAGATCAAAATTAACAATTAATATCTCATCGAACTTCCCTTTGAGGATTTCATCAGCAGTCAGATTTAAATTATCCTTTGCATTTGAATCAAAAAGAAAACATGTGATCTTGCTGGTGTTGTCCATTACGCAAAGATGAATTTTGTACCTAGCAATATATAACTATTGTATTAAAATACTTGAATGGAACGTTAGTTAAATAATTAATACAAATACTATAAAACATAGCAAAATATTTTACCTCGCACTGACAAATGACACTTTTGCATCACATGTTTCACAAGAATAAAGCGTCGTAGTCTTCTCATAGACTTTTTGATCCTCCTTCTTTGGGATTTTGTAAACCTTTTTACCACACCTAGTGCAAACCAAGTAAAACCACGACCAGTCTATGTCAACCGCGTAGACGGTGCACGTGATCTTACATTTACCAACCTGATGAAACAAAAATATAAATGTCAGAATCATATAATCTATGACGAATAACATAGCAAAGTTTAAAAATTACATATACCTCAAGATAGTCTTGCAATTCTGAAAAGTGACCATTGGAAGCTGATCAAAATTACTCTCATCATCATAAGAAACCCTTTGTTGAGGCTTGCTATTCAAGAATGTAATACGTCCACAATTCTCAAGGAAACTAAAAATTTAAATGAATTATTTGTATTCGTAATCATAATGATACGACATATATATATATATATATATAATATACATAGCCAAATTACCTATTCTTGAAGACAATGACATCAAGATCATTCAGATCTATCAGAACCTTAGTTGTTTGAAAACTACTTGTAATTCGACGATCACCTAAAATATATAACAAACAAAAACAAAAAAAAACAAAAAACGGCGTTGTATGAAACTTACAAATAGCAAGGTAAATGAAATTAATATATACATCTGGACACATTTATTTTCCCAAAACGGATTACAAGGATGACACTACTTTCACCAGCACTCTGACAAGCCGAATAGACTTGCTCACCAAGCTTTCCCTACAGTGTGCATGGTAAACGTTGATCACTGTTAACACATATTACATTAACCAGATGAAAGTTAATTGGATACAAATATAAATATATAGATATATATATACTCACTTAGTATTTCGTAGATCGAACTCGAGCTTGCTGGTGTCATATTCATAAAAGGGATTGTTTCCAACTCACAGACACTTACAACTTGTCCAATAACATCTATTTGACAAAAATAACATCAGATAATTATAGAAAATAGGAGAGATGAACCAATTACATCAATTATGTCAATGAACTTACCAACCAAAAAACATGTATTGGTAACATCGTCCAATATTGTAACAAACTGTGAGAAATAAAAAAAAAACCGACTGTCTGACCGATTAGAACTTTTGCTGATAACTGTAGAGGCTATGAAGGACATCCTAAAATGATGTTTGGTGCCCGTTATTGTCCTGATGCCTGATTCAATGAAAAGTTCTCTATGAACTTTCATTCACCGACAACCATCATCCGTTCAAAACGATGCAACAGGTTTTTCTTGACAGTTGCATGAATTTTGGTATCCTGCAAGATTAATAAGTTAATAATTTTAACACAATAATCAAAATATTAAAACAGTAGTGTCGATTAATAATATATTGTACCATTTCATCGGTCATGATGATTTCCAAAGACTCTCCACTCTTTGTTTGGTATTGCTTCCAAGTATGAAACACATTCACCTGAACCTTCCACTCAGTCTTAAAAGGCTTAATGTCAGCTAAAGAGGTTAGCTTCATTGTGGAAGCCATACGAAAAATGCAATACTAAAACAAAACAGAGATGAAAACGAAATTTGATGTGGAGTGTTTTGGAAGAAGGGGTAGAATTATTTATAAGAAAAATTATGGGGGGTATTGTTAAGCCGTTAAATTGTACATAAATTGGCGGCCAAGAATATTCGTAACGTTTAAATTTTTGAAATAGATATGCCAAATATCAAATAACGTCCTTTTTTGTAAAGTATGTGTAATTGTCTATATATATGGAGATGCGAGATAAACGGGATAATACTTAATCGGTTAATGGTATAATTTCAAAAATGAGCGCTTATCCATCATTTCAAAATTTACGGAATACCATGTCTACTGCAACCTATGAGAATATATTGTGTTCAATGAATATGGAATAATAATTCAATGAGATATTTGATTGTTACAATTTTATATCTTAATAGTGTGTGTTGTTGTATTTGGTAACAATATTTATTGATATAATTAGTAGTAAAGATCATGATAGGATTTGAAGTATATTTAATTCACATACGTAATTTTACAAATCTATTCAAATGAATTCGACATTTATTGCAAATTTTAGGTTATCCCTATAATATGATATTTTGTTTCATTTACATTTTACATATAAAAATTAAAAATTGCCGAAAATTCATAACGGGTTAAGATTTAGGATCCGCGTCATTCTAAATGAGTCATTTTAAAAAGACATGGATCCTCTTTGATTTTGCTTTTTTTTTTGTTCGTGGAATACATTTTTATACAATGGCATTCATTGTAATATACCACGTAACACTGAGGTTAAATTCTAAATGTACTTCTCCTTTAAATTATAAGATGTAAAGAAATTATTTGTTCTTAATTTGTTATATAGTTTTCTTACTTTAATATTATTATAGTTTTTATTATTAATATAAATTTTATACGTAATTTCTTTATCTTTAATAATTTTTAAATACAATAATAAAATTTGAAAATTTTCTTAATTTTTAATATTGTGGTGGACCAATGAAAATTTAATACATAATTTTTTTATTTTAATATTTATTTTTTTAGCAATAATATTAGAATTTATAAACTTTTTTAATTTCTAATGTTGATATGAACCAATAAAATTGTCTTTTAAAATCTTATGTGGATTTTTATTAGTAAATAGAATAGACTAGTTTATATCTCACAATCTTAGTAAGAAAAAACACATTTTTTCGCATCTGACATAATAAGAGTAACAGCTGAAATTATGAGGAAATTTGTCAAGTCGGATAGGAATGTCCCTTCATTGGAAGAGATGAGACAGGAATACTGATAGAGAGAAGGACTAGCGGGGTAGAGACAAAAATAGATAAAAAAACTTCTTCAATGTATATGAAAAGCGTCACTTTATTCCTAAACCGTATCTATTGAACCATCCTCTTTAGAAACCCTTTGTCCCAACAATATTCTGCTTAGCCATTATTGATGAGATCCAAGCAAAGGGAGAAGAAAACATAATTATAATCATAACCAAAAAGAGGGTTCATTAAAGACTTCTCAAGTCACAAAGTCATCGTCTAAAGTATATTATATAAACATAGATCAAGTTATCGAATCTTGTGTTAAAAAACCTTGCTATTGAAACTTACATAAAAAATAACATGTATATAATCAGACTGGGTCAGTAACGTTCAAATTACCGAGCGTCAATGACCGAGAGAGTGATTTGGTTCTCAGTAAATTCGTTGTTGCGCTGTGTACTTGATGATGAATCAGTCTCAAGAGTACTTCTCCCAACGCAAAAACCAGGTCGTTTAGGCTGAGGAATAGCTGTAGTTTCACTTCCAAGCATCACCATTACGGACGACATAAGTGGTCTGTCTTCAGCATGTTCTTGAACACACAAGAGACCAATTTGTATGCATCTTAATACTTCATCTGTTCGGAATGGTGCTGATGATAAATCATTAATGATGATCGGATCAACGATCTCTAGCCCTTTTCCTTCCTTCCAATACCTCCACACCTGTGAATGAATAGGAATCATTCTTTGTGTGTTAATTGTTATCATCAGAAATGCGCGCAGAACAAGATCGAATTTAAGAGGTTTTTAGCTTACACAACCGAGGAGACTAAGGTCACCAGTTGAGTTGTAGAATCCTGTACTCCTCTTGCCACTTATAATCTCAAGAAGCAAGACCCCAAAGCTGAAAACATCCGACTTCACCGAGAATATCCCATTCATTGCATATTCTGGAGACATGTAGCCGCTGCATAACAAAGATCAAACTCATACATTATGCGGTTTTCCTTTTACTTTTGATTAAAGATAAAAGTTCTCTGTTGTTTTGGAGAATAAGTGCTTACTAAGTTCCCACCACCCTCCTCGTATTAGCTTCTGTTTCATCCCGTCCAAATATCCTGGCCATCCCAAAATCCGAGATCTTCGGAGTCATATTTTTATCCAGCAGGATGTTACTTACTTTCAGGTCTCTATGGATAATCCTAAAACGGGAATCTTGGTGAAGATATAGAAGTCCTCTAGCAATACCATTGGTAATCTCAAATCTCATTTTCCAATTTAGGTTAGAGCGTCGGGTTTTGTCTACAAACCACAACCGGAAACGTGTTAACTTAGACCTAAAGATTTTCAATGTTAGAGCATAGCTGTTTTGAGTCACTAACCAAAGAGATGAGAATCAAGGCTTAGATTCTCCAAGTATTCATAGATCAACATCTTCTCGCCCTTATCGACGCAACAACCAAGTAGTCGGACAAGGTTTATGTGCTGAAGCCTTGCAATTAGTATAACCTCGTTCTTGAACTCATCAGTACCTTGCAAAGACATTTTCGATAGTCTCTTTACCGCGATTTCTTTTCCGTCAAGTAACCTTCCCTGTTACCACACATTTGATTGTACAACAAAACCTTTTGGAGGGATAGATTTTCAATAGGTTTTGAATCACTGTTACCTTATAAACGATACCGAAGCCACCTTGTCCAAGCTTTTTGGAGTTAGAAAAATTGTTTGTGGCCACGGCAACAGCTTCAAACTCAATCAATGGAAGCTCTACATCATCTGTTTTTTTTTCTCTGGATATGTGTCTCCTGCTTGGTATTACCTCTTCGTTAGTTAGCCAATCTAGGCTTCTCACTTGATTAACTGCTTTATTCAGACAAAAAAAAATTCTAGATTTATATGACTACCAAAATTTACAGACGAAAAATAAAGGAAATAAATTAAAAGTTATTATTAATTTACCAAAAGGTTTTTGAACTGCTATTGATCGCTTCTGTTTCCTTTTCCAACAACAAAAGATGATGAAACTTAAGAGAAGCAAAATGCTCACTCCAATACTCGAACCTATGATTTTTACATTTCTGGTTCTCTTGTCTGCTGCAATAGTGAAGGCGAGACCAATGTTAGAGCATCTCTATTGGTAGTCTCTCAATGGATACATCAACACTATACAAAAAAAAAATAAACAAATTGGGTTCACTGTGCTACTAGCTGGACTTGTTGTGTCGACTATGCGATTAGTTGGTCAACTTTGAAGCTAGATAGCTGATGGTTAGGCAGTTATGGTTATGGCACATCCACTATTCTACTATTCATCAAACATATCAATCAAATACAATGTAATTTTAACTCGTAATACTCAACACCAATACAGCCATTTCAAAAACAAAAACAAAATGCATTTTTCACTAGCCAAGTCAATAACTATTCTAAAAAACTATATAGAAGCGTTTGGAACATTTTTAAAAATTTCAATTTTAGTAAATTCCTTTTTCAAAATACCATTCAAAAAATGTTTTAAAATACATCATTTTTATAACGCCTTGGAAATGTTATAAATTTCTGCATCTTCATAACTACCTTTAAACCTTAAAAAAAATGCAATGGAGAAAGAACTAACCGAGATCAACAGCGGCCAGTCTAATGTAAAGATCCTGACCTCCCTTAGCATGATTTCGGACATCCAAAATCTCTCCGGTCCAAATGGCACAACCCGAACCGCCATTACGAATATCCGTATTAGCAAACGCCGTGCAATTACAATCTTTTAGACACCTCTCTTCACATTCTTTCAGCCCAATATCTCTGTCTACAATAGCCACCGTAGTATCCGGCAACTTCATCTTCTTCAACAACACAAACCCATCTCCCCTGTCACAGCTCAGCCTCGTCTTCCTCGTGCATCCTTCGGAATCATCTCTCATCTCCTGCACCTGCTCATTCCTCGGCTTAAACCCTTTGATACAATTACAAACCGGTGAAGTGTTCGAATCGCAATAACCGAAATTCCCACACTGTTTATAGTTATCGCATAGGTCCTTTGGTGAGTACCATAATTGGTCCCATGTTTGTGCTCTCTCAAGCCAAGTGAATCGTTGAAATAATCCCGTGGAGCTTAAGCTTACTCTTGAGTAAATGTTGGTTTTGGTGATTAGATATGAGTAAGTCACTTCTTCATTACTTGCTGTGAAGTTGTAAGCCAAGTAATCAACTGGTTTCATCTCCGGTACGTCGCTGCCAAACCGGAATCCATTCCACGGACCGCTCCGGTACGATATCGAATCTTTGTTGTATACGTAAAACTCAGGGAACCTTCTGGTTTCGAGTTTAGTTGAGAAATCGCCGCTTGATGGATCATCTGGACTTTTCCAAGATCTCAAGAATCTGTTGATTCCGGTTTTAAGATCCCAACCCAGTTTCATCTCCGGAAGTAAAGTATCTGTCGGAAAGTCAAAACTCTGCCACAAATATCTATCACGATCGTTATTTGTGGAGTCTCTGAGCACGAAATTACCGTTATCAAGAAGCTCTGCAACCATTGGAGACCTCACATCTACTCCGGTTAGATTCGTCGACCAAACCGGCGTGTCGGATTGATCGAAAATGACGAGGTTATTGTCGGAGATTTTGAGAGTTCCGTTGGAACTAGAGAGAGGATTGTCTCTGTTTGCAACCCATACGTAGGTTCTTGTAGGGATTTTCTTGTACCAAATCCCGAGATACCAACGAGAACTTGATGCAAGATTGAAGAAACCGAGCTCAAAGATTTCACTAGGAGATCTAATGGTTTTGTTGCTTGAGATAGTGAGAGATTCTGTAGCTGACAAAGTATTTGCAGAGATAGAGAAAGCAAGAAACAGAATTAAGACTAAGAAGGTGTAAGAATGGTGGTAGCACTGGTAGGTTGGAACACTTCTCATCTCTCTTTCTTGTGTAATTTTTTTTTTGTTCTTGAGAAAATTCTACGTATATTTGAGAATTTAAGATCTTTTCGGACATCCCTTGGTTAAATGAGTTGTTATTCTCTTTCAATTTTTGGCTTTATTTTGGTTTGTATATCTATTAATTAAGGACTATAGACTTAACTTAGAACATGAAAGGTGGCTGAGAAGTCCTTTTTTTACTAAAAAAACGGAAAATTGTTTTCTCTTTTATAAATTCACAATTATTTATCATTGTTTTTGGAACTTTCGTGCTTGACCTTACTTTGTACACCTACCCAAAAAAATAATCTCATCAACCCTTTTTTTATTTGTGTAACTGTGTGTGTCATATAAAATGTTTTCTATTTTGTAATTTAAAAAAAAAATACCAATTGGTATCAATAGAAAATAGGAAAATTAGGTAGATAGTAACATGTTTTAAAATTAGTTTGATTACAGAGAATTATTTTTTTGGCGGCGATGGTTTTTCTATTGCTCTCAGGAGTCAGGTGGTCCCACTCTCGACCATTCTCTACCAATCAGCTAATCGCAAATCCCTCTGTCTCCTCAACAACTCTCCCATCATCAACGAATCTGCCTCGACAATTGTTCAGAAGACCACAACTCGTTACTTCACCAATCAGCCAGTTCATTATCGTAGGAGTCAGTGCGAAACATCTTCTGGATAACTGATATTGCCTTCTCTTTATCTTCAGATTTTAAAGCAATCACATTGCACTTAAACACAAAACGCAGATACCAGGTTGTAGGCAAAAGAATTTGAAGTTTTTATTCACTGACACATTTATTTCCAATTTTCTTAAGAAGATTACTACACATAAAAAGAATTAAAGTAAACTGTTACCAGTTTATCATCTATGGACCCGTTGCAGACTTGCAGGTATAGTATAAGACATCTTTTGCATATAGTTGTCAACATCAAAATCCTAGAACACAACATTTTAAAAAAGAAAAATATGAGCTTCATTAAGATGGTGCCTCTATAATTAACCTTTTTTGTGAGAATTAAAATGAATGTGACACGTAAGAAGCGGATTTTTCAAATGATATTAAGATGATAAAGAATAAATTATTTATTACTCATCTCTTAATTAACCTAGGGTGTTCCATTTGGCACGAGCAAATTGGCACAAGTAAGAATAATTAAAAATATAATCCTAAGTATCATATAGAGAGTGAGTGACTCTCAAAAAAGGATGACATGACACATCAACACTCCCTGACACAGCAGCTCACTTATTTGTTATTTAACTACTATTGTAAAACTCTAATTAATTTAAGCTCATTATTTTTATCTTCATTTTTCTATGCACTGATTTATTTACTGTCATTGTTCTCATGGCTTTTTGACTTCCACTTTTGATGTTTCTTATTGTTAATGATGCTTCAAACGTTGTCTTAAATATTGGTCACTCATGTTTCATTTCAACGCATAAAAAAAGAATCAGCAGATATAGAGAAGAAGAAATGAAAAAGGTAAAAATTACCTAAGATTTTCTAATAAATCTCCAATCTACAGCTTTCACTTATGCAAGTTTCTATATACATTACGAAAGTGAATGTTATTCACAAATCCACGGTCTAAGATTTATTTCTCGACCATGGGCAGAGACATCTACATGTAATACCATCTTTTGTGTTCGTTAGAAAAGAAGATTTTGAAAGAAGGTTTTAATTTCGAGAATTCTATGAAGAGTAAATAGAAAGATCACGACTTCAAAGCTTGGTAAGATCAGTTAGTCTATTCTTTTTTCTTTACTGTTTGAGTGTTAATTTGTTGCATCTCTTAGTCCTACTAACTTGTGGTATCGATTAATTTCGGAAGTGACAACATTAGTTCAATTCTAACACAATAAAGGTTTTCCTGGTTGAAGAGTGAAAGTTCCTTATGTATTTCACATAATATGGTGACTATGAAGGATGATTATTCACTCTTTGAGAATTATTTACTGAAGAGGTTTTTTTACCTTGCTTATTTGGGTTCTCCAAAAAAAAAAAAGAGTTCACAACGAATTTACCTGTTATTAAAGATTTTTTGGCTTTACGATCGTTGAATTTGTTTTCTTATAACAATCAAGTTCTTACTATGATATTAGAAATTACTTTTTTCCCCTCTTTTTTTCATCCTTGATCTTTGGCTTTTCATATATTGGTTATTAGAGAATCTATAGGGGTTCGTTTAATGTAAGGAGGATCATCGATTTTATTGGCAAATGGTTAGCGTTAACCACTATAGTAAATATATACATGCATGCAAGCACAGAAAAAATTGGAACATGTGTTGTTAGGTATTTTAAAGATAACTAGCGTGCATTGATTTAGTATACTTCAGTAAGCTTTACAAAGAAAATGAGTTTTGCACTTTCGCTAATGGTTTGTTCTTAGGTTGAAAAAAATTCACAAAACATAAAGAGAAGCAGCCTCCACAATAAGATGGATATGATATAGTGATCATGTAAGCTATTCTTTGAAGAACTACTTGATGCCGGCTTTTAACAATTTCTTTGTGTTTGAATAATCATGAGAATCAGGCTATTATTTTCCAATCCATGCAACGAAGCTATAATAATTTCTAAAAGACTTTGTTTCAAGTTAAGCTGGTGTAAGGAATTTACTCTATTTTTATTTTTATTTTAGAGAAAAATTTAAGCAACAAAAACGATACTCTGAAAAACCTATTACATCCGTCAGTAAAATTTTTAATATCTATGGTTTTACAAGAAATGAAAAAAATCTCGTTTCAATGAGTCCTAATTAAAGAAATCTTTGTGAAGATAATATATAGAATTTATATCATTTTATGTGCATGAAATGGAGCTTGCTTTATCTCCATTAGATCTTGGAGTTGGGAGTATTGGTTCTCCCAGGTACTGCAATAGAAAGCCACGAGAGCGGCAAAAGCCAAATCCGATGGTAAAAATGGAGAAAGACGTATTGGTAAGCTTTTACGACAGCTGGTCATGATTATCCAAAGTTCCAAACTCTACCGTGATGCAACTTCTCTTTACTTAACAAACTAACCACTCAGGGACTCAAAGTGGGTGCGGATTCGAACCGCTTACAGAGGGATTTACAGTCCTTTGCTCTACCAGAGCTACTACCTGTCATCACTTGCTTTTCAAATTTCGAATGTTTTATAATTTGGAATCGTTTTTTCTTCAAGGCGGAGGAGGAACCCGTTCACTCAATTCCGGGGAAACAACTCCCTTAGCCTTTAGAAAGAAAGCAGGTCCAGGTTTCAAAGCGTAAAACGATGAAACCAAAGGCTCCTTCAACTCGAAGAAGATAATATGTAGTATGAAATACCAAAGGTTTTCATGCTATATTTATTTCTTTTTCTAATTTAAGTGAAGATTGTGACGGTCTGGAGAATATGAAAATTTTGTGGAATAAGCTTATCCATTTATTTGAGAATATATCCTTAGGAAATCATAATATTTAGTATTTTCTGGATTCTCATATCTTTGTTTTATGATGTTCAAGGTAATTTTCCACGTTTAATTGAAGACAAACGGTTCTTCATAGAGAAAGCATTTGATAAGATTTCTTGAAACCAAAAAAAAAGTCCATAAAAAAGCTAATCAAAATAAGATCACCTTAAGAAACCAAGTAAACAACTAATCTCTCTAAATGTATATGGCCATCCAAAAAAACCAAAAATCTAAACTTTTTTTTTTTAATATCACCAAAAATCTAAACAAGATTTCAGTTTTAAACATTAGACAAATATTATAAAGAAAACCCACGTATATGCATGGGTACTCATCTAGTTTTATATATAAAATCTTATATATAAAAGAAAGCTAACTCTCTCCATATGAGTGACACAGGATGACATGTGTCACACTTTTTTAAAGAAAAATAATTAATAAATTTTAATATTAAATTTTAAACCACTTAAAGATGAATTTTTTTTCAATTAATTAATTCTTAAATAATATTTATTTAAATATTAAACAATAATTTATGTTTTAATTAATTGAAAATATGATGAATATTTTTTTGTAGAAAATTTTGATTGGTTAGTAATATTACATTTTAAATTGATTGATTTATAATAATATAATAACACATAATAAATGATGATTATATTTTTATTAATTAATTCTTAAATAATATTTATGTAAATATTAAATAATAATTTATGTTTTAGTTCATTAAAAATATTGATAGATATTTTTTGTTTAAAATTTTGATTTTTAATAATATTATATTTTAAAATGATTAATTTATAATAATATACTAATACATAGCAAATAATGATTATAAATTTTTTTAAGAAAATACAAAAATGTATAAAGTTAAAATAGTTGAAGAATTAAAAATATTACACGTTATGTGCAGATATTTACCTAGTTCTTCATGCTGAAATTTGGATAATAAAACATGCTGGGAAAATTTGTGTGGCTTAAATTACTATCCCAACTTTCATTGATTTAGGTTATGATTAACTTTAGGAAGAAAATAATTCAAAGCAAATTTGAGAATGTGTTTAGAAAATTTTCATTAATTTTCAAACCATTGGTTAATTTTGATACCTAATTCCTAATCGGGCCTAATCCGATCTATTCTTCAGAAAATCGTGTCAAACGGGCTAAAGACTGCAAAGTAAGTAATTTACAAACTAGACCCTCAATTAAATCAAAATTTTAGAAAGCCCAAGAAGTTATAGCACATTGGAAGGAGCATAGACATTTACTTTCTTTCGCTTTCCCTCCATTTCCTTACTTCATCAAACGCAGAGACCCAGAAACCTCTGTTTGTGTCTCAGAAAAGCAAACCCTTCTTGTCGGGGAAATCAACTCCAAAGCCCTAAAAAAACAAAGTAAGCGGCTACATTTCCTCGAATCATTATCCAATTTTGATGGTTCTAGTCGATATAGGGTTTTAAGGTTTTCTGTCTATTTGAAATCGCAAAAAGCTAAGACGTTGTTGTAAAGACACTTTCGATGATCGATGGGTCTCGTTTAAAAGCCGTTCTTTTGCTTCGCTTTGTGTAAAGTTGGAGCCTTTAAAGTTTTCACTCGTTGAATGGGTTTTGATGTAACGAGTTGTGGCTAAGAGATTAGGGTTTTAAAAATCGATTCTTTTTAATCTTTCAGAGTGAGAAATTGAGTTGGGAAACTTTTAACAAAATGAAGAAAATGCGTATTGAAGGAAGAGATTTGGTCGATCTCGTCCTCTCGTGGTCTCTTGAAGAAGTACTCAATGTTGATCTTTACAAACGACAGGTTCTGTTTTATGCCTTTTTTGCCTCTCACTCGCTTCACTTTTGTTCTTGTCTAAGTAAAGAGAATCATCAGCCTCAGGCCTTTGTTGTTAAATTTGTGTATTTGGTTGCTTTCAACAGGTGGGGAAGATTCCTCTTGAGTTCGAATCAACCGTAGACTACTTCAAGTCGTTTCTTCCACCACTTATCGAAGAAACTCATGCCGCTTTACTCTCGAGTATTAGGACATTGGGGCGAGCACCAGTGGTTGAAATAAGCTACATCATGCCAATGGCCGAATTCGAGCTTCCTAATGACTTGTTCTATAAAGTGCGTTTGAGTGGATTGAGTACTGATGAGCCTAGTACGCAATTGATACCAAAAGATCTCATCGTGTTGACAGATAAAAGGCCGAATCGTGTTGATGGCTTCAACATTTCCAGTGAGCCTTATATAGTTGCTATGGTGTGCAAGGCTGATCCGGACAGGCCTAATGATGTCATTATTTTGGCTTCGAAACCGCTTTTTCTTGAGGATGTCCAAAGGAGCAAGAACGAGAAGAAAGCGAGCCTTTTTGGTATTTACATGACCAATATAACCACTAACGTTCGTATCTGGAACTCATTGCATCTTGGTTTAAAAGGTGGGAACTTGGATCTTATCTCAAGAGTCCTTCAAAGAAACAGTGAGGTAAACACTAAACAGTTATTCTTAAGTTCCGTTTAACAGCCCTCAATGTGGGAAATAATATCGATTCTTGTATAGGATGAAGGAGTTTGCATTCCCTGTCGACTTGAAGAAAGTGACGGTCTTGTTCCTCATCGTTTCTTGAAGCTGAATCCTTCACAGGAAAATGCAATACTGAGTTGTTTGGATGTTAGAAGATGCCACCACGAGAATACCATCAAAATGATTTGGGGTCCACCAGGGACAGGGAAGACGAAGACAACGAGTGTAATGTTGTTCACACTTCTTAATGCAAAATGTAGAACCTTAACTTGTACTCCAACGAATGTTTCTGTTCTTGAAGTGGCGTCAAGAGTTGTGCAGCTAGTCTCTAGATCTTTGACTATTGGTAAATATGGTTTTGGAGATGTACTTTTGTTTGGGAATGGTGAGAGGATGAAGATCAAAGATAGGAGAGATCTTGTTGACTTCTTTATTGATGAGCGCGTTGATAAGCTGTACCCATGTTTTATGCCTTTTTACGGGTGGAAAGCTACTATTGACTCCATGATACGTTTACTCGAGGACCCGCAAGGTCATTATCATCAATACTTGGAGAATCTGGAGCGGGTTAACAATGTGAAAAGCAAAGACACTGATTCAGTCTTCAAACGCAAAGGAAATGACCACAAGAAGAATCGAAACGAAAACATAGCGGAACAAGTTGTTTCTGACTCTCGTGATGAAGAAAAACGTCCTACATCATTTCAAGAATATCTACCAAATAGATTCAGCGACCTTAGGAGAGATCTAGAGCTTGTTTTCTCATGTTTATGCACACATTTGCCTACAACTTTGCTCTTATCTCAAGCCGCAACATGTATGTATGAAACTATTGACCTTGTCAAAGATGCTACAATTTTAGCTGTACCAGATGGTGTGAGTGGTGAAGTACTAAAATCGGTCCTAGTTACTACAGGAAGTGACAGATTCACCAGCGAACAAGTCACAGTAGAGGATGATTATCTAAAGCTGTTAAGATTGATCCCTGAGATTTTTACACTTCCAAGTATGTCTAATAGGCATCTTATTAAAGAACTCTGCTTTGGACACGCTTGCCTGCTTTTCTCTACAGCATCATGCTCTGCAAGGTTATACACCGAATTACCGATACAGCTTCTTGTGATAGATGAAGCTGCTCAGTTAAAAGAATGTGAAACAGCCATTCCTCTGCTGCTTCCAGGAATCCAACATTCAATTTTGATTGGTGATGAAAAGCAACTTCCTGCAATGGTTGAAAGCCAGGTATGTGTCTCTGTGTCCTTGTATGTGTAATAAAATCGCCTCTCCTTAGCTAACCTTTACCTAAAACTATACAGATTGCTTTAGAGTCAGGATTTGGGAGAAGTCTATTCGAAAGAGTGTCCATTCTTGGACATAAGAAATACTTGCTAAACATCCAATACCGGATGCATCGCTCGATAAGTATCTTCCCAAACAAAGAGTTCTATGGAACGCAGATTCAAGATGCTCCTACGGTTAAACAAAGAAGCTACACCAAGCAATATCTTCCTGGAAAAATGTATGGACCCTACTCTTTCATCAACATACCATATGGAGAAGAACAATATGGGGAAGGACGTAGTCTGAAAAACAACGTTGAGGTTGCTGTGGTTTTGGATATAATAGCCAACCTTCTCCAAGGTGAACTATCTTTGATTTAATAAAGAAGTGACGGTCTATGAAATTGTTGTTCTCTCTCTGGTTTTGGTACAATGAAGCAGACTTTTATGTTAAAATGCAGTTTCTGAGAGAACAAAGACACGCATAAACGTTGGTGTGATTTCCCCTTACAAGGCTCAAGTATTTGCGATTCAACAAAAGATTCAGGAAACATGCAGTGGTGATGCAGGAGGACTCTTTTCCCTGAAAGTTCGTTCTGTTGATGGGTTTCAAGGTGGTGAAGAGGATATTATAATAGTATCAACTGTTAGGTCCAATGGTATTGGAAGGGTTGGGTTTCTTGCAGACCGCAGAAGAACAAATGTATTACTCACTCGAGCAAGGTACTTTTTAGGCATATCTCAGTTCTTTGGTTACTGGTAAAGACTGTCTTCTAATTATTGTTTTTTTTTGTTCCTATAGGTTCTGCTTGTGGATACTTGGCGATGAGGCGACTTTGGTGAATAGTAAGTCTTTGTGGAGAAATCTCATACATGACGCAAAGGAACGTGACTGTTTCCATAATTCCGAAGAAGACAAGTCATTAGCTCAGGCTATTGCTAGTGCGAAAATCGAATTTCTGCAGCTTAATAGGCCATTGAACAATTCAAAATGGAAGGTAATGACTTTGCTTTGTGTTCTTTTTGTTTATTCTCTTTCTTCTGAGACTTCTCTTTGTGTGTGAAACAGGTTTGCTTCAGCGACGAGTTCAAAAAACATTTGGAAGAAATTAAGAGCCCGGAGATTTACAGGAAGATAAAGAGTTTCTTAGAAAGGATATTACAGGGTTGGTTTCCTGAAGAAGAGTCAGAGACAGACAATCTAGTTTCTTCCTCGCAGCTGTTAAAACAAAGCAAGATCGATGATGTTATAAGACTCATTTGGGCTGTAGACATTCTTAAGCAGGAGTTTCACTTTGTCCAAGTTCTAAAGATTTGGGATGTTGTGACATCATCTGATGCTCCTGAAGCTTTAAAACGTCTGGACTTGAACCAAATGAAATATACAGAAGACGAGATCGAAAAGTGCAGAGCCAGATGTTTCAGAGGGTGAGTGATATTTATGTGACATAACATCTTATTCTTATTAATTTCACAAGCAAAGTGTTATTCATATGAGTTTTCATTTCACATTGATGCAGGGATATAATTGTACCCTTGAGATGGTCTGTTGAGCCTACAAATGGTAACTCGGTGCTTTGTTCAAGCGACGTTATGGAGACGTTTGGATCACTCAACCTTGCGGGAGAAACATTGTCTGCTGAACTATCCAGGTAAGTTATATTTTCACACTTGCTAAAGATATTTGAAGTGCATTGAGCCAGATTAAAGTCTCATTGGTTCTTTTTGTGGCGTGTAGTGACTCTCGGCAACTTCTGAAAGATGAGAAAGAAGAGCAGGAAATCGAAATAGACAGTTTAAGCGATCTTCTTACCTCCAAACTGTTTCTATGACATGGTTTCCTTCTATGAGGACCAAATAGGCGTTAGTGTTTGTTTTTTGTCGAATACGTTTTAGAGATCTCATCTGTACAAATCCCTTTTGCTGTTAATTCGAAATCTGGTCTCCACTATGTTTTACTGCTTCAAGGTCTTAACAGAGATTTACTAAGAAAGTGGCATATAGAATGCAAAGTTTTGTATCAGTTTGACTCAAATAAGAATGTGTTGGTACGATTACATTAGTTTTTTTAAAATTTTGTTCTTCAAGTTTGTTTGTATCTTTCACTCATGGTTTGGACATTGAAGAAGCACTACTAATTAGTATTAGTATAACTATGTGTTGATGTGTATACTACTCTCAAATTCTGTTTCCGTTTTTGTTTTGGCTCGGTTTCTTTGGTTTTCCGGATTCTGAAACCATAGAAATCATTTGTAACTTGGTTTGGTTTAAACTGATTATTTCTATTTTAATGGTTGGCAACAAAAATAAAGGAGTTGATAAAAGAAATTTTTTATTTCTAAATTAATGTATTCTGGTTTATTTGATTTTGTTGATATATAATAAACAGTTTTGGTCTACTTTCGGCTTTCTGAGTTAACAATAATCAAAACCAATAAATAAAATTTGGTTCGGTTTCGGTTTGGTTGTTGATTTTTTGCTAATAGCAAAAACAGAAGAAAAAAGCAACCAGACAACCAATAATTTCATTCTTCTTTTTATACATAGTTGAGTAGAAATAAAATATAACCACAAACAGAAAAAAAAAGAAGAAAAACCTAAAAAAACCTTTAAAAAAAAACAACTGAAACTAAGAGAGGTAGAAAAGAAACGTAGAAATTAAGAAAAGCATACTCTAAAAAAAGACCAAATTAAAAAGAAAAAAAAAACACACTTAAGAAGGGTTTAAGAAAGAATCAACCTTTAAGTTGGTAGAGCCAGACAAGAACTTCATGCAAATAGGAGGCTTAACACCAGCTAACGCAAGTATAGAGCTTGGTAATGTCCAAATCCCTTCACCACAAATCAAACCAGAAGCAACAGCTGAAGAGTAAGCATCAGCTTTCGGTTTATTCAGCTTCCTCCATATGAACAAAATCAGACTTCCCACACACATATCGATCGTAAAGTAACCTCCGATGTAAAAAGGTATAGCCATAGCCATCGGTAACGGGATAAACCGAGCCCATCTAGGCCCAACTAGATCCCTTACACCGTTCACAATCACCGCCGCGGCAAAGAATATGTAACAGAGCATGAGGCAATGTTTAGGCAAAGCAGAGAATCCTTCTACTCCGAGTATCGACATGTTCCGGTACACCAAAGCGTACGGTGCGGGATAAGCGGTCCCGGTTTGGCCAAAGTCCGGAAACGCTTTGTAGAATAGCCAGAAGACGCAAGGAGAGATCACGCAGCCCATAGCGGTTCCAATAGCTTGGCTCAAGAACATTGATCTCGGTGAGGCTAATGTCATGTAACCGGTTTTGAAATCTTGCATAAGGTCAGAAGCGGTCGAGACGATGTTCATCATTACACCACAAGCCGCGAGTCCGGCTAATACCCCTCCGTTGGCTGCACCGGCCCAAGCACCGATGGTGAAGATGGCGAGTTTGCCGTAAGTTGAAGCCAAGGACCAGTCGGTGAGACCGCAACCGTAGGCGTTACAGAACGCTAAAACAGGGGCGATTATGTACATTGTCAAGATGTGGTACCATTTGAGCTGAGGGAAGATGTGTGGGACTGTGATGATTGAGACTATGGCCATGATTACGTAACCGGTTACAGCAATCCATGATGGGATTCTGTCTTTAAGGAAAAGCTCTGTTCTTCGTTTGTCGTCGTAGGAAACTGCTACGGTGGTTGGTGATGAACGGTCGTTGACAGGAAGTACATCTCTATTCTTGAATTGCTTGTATAGACCGACGACGGTTCTGCCTAGGACTTTGACGAAGTTGTAGAGACCATCACCGAGGATCATAGCTATGGCTATAAACACCTGAGAGGATCAATCAAAACTCAAGATTGTAATTAGTGAATTCATAAAAATCAATGAACTTAAGAGATAGATAGTGAGAGAGAGTGATACCTTGTAGCCTTGAAGGCCATGGAGACTACTTGATTCAAGATCAGCAGCATACCATTTGCCTTTTTGGGCATCTATGAGAGGCCACATAACACCCCAAGAGAGTATTGATCCAACGAGGAGAGATACATTGATTAGATAAGGACATATCATTCCAACACCAACATATGTAGCCGAGAAATCAAAGTAGAACCTATTCACAAACAAAACACAATTTAGATGAAATAGTAATTTTGACATAAGTAGACAATATGTGGATTGTGAAATGTTACATACTTTTGTTTATAGGCTTTGAGACCAAATGTAGGGAAGTTAGCAAAACCACAATCATCACCAGAAGTAAAGAACCATTGAAAGAAACCCCACAAGAAACTGAATGAGAAGAACTTCCCCAATGCTCTGACTTGCTTCCTGTGTTGTTTGAGAAGAAAAAGTGATCAATATTCAGACATGAGAACATCTAATAAGATTGATGTGAATAAATCATGATAAAAGATTCTTACTTTGCGAGTTTGGCACCTTGAGGTGTGTGGAAGCTGTTGATGAGATGAGCAGTGGCAGTACCACTAGGATATGTCAATTTGAAGTCTACTATCATGATCTGAAGAATAAATTCATTAGATTGTTACACAATGTGATAATATTTTGTGACCAGAGATGTAATTAAAGGAGTTAAGTTGGTACCTTTCGAAGGGGAACAACAGAGAAAAGACCAAGGAAGCTAACGATAAAGAGGAAACCAATCATCCACCCCAAATGAGGATTCTTTATGTTGAGAGGACTATTAGCTTCGGATGATTGTTTAGCAACTACATCACTCATCCCAAAGAGATAACTACCAAACCCTCCTGTAAACACACACACACAAACATTAAGTCAACCAAACAAGAAACGTTGACTTGATGATTTCAATATCTGGATCATGATCACAATTACACAAATCTCAAACATCAAGATAGAACCAAATCGGTCAATTAGAGTTATTCAACCGAAAACATTATTTAGGATCTAGTATTATAATTGAAGTCACTGTGAAAATTTTTAGATGTGGATTGACTCTTTAAATTAAAAAGCAAACGAAAATCTAATCACAAATCAAATTTCTCTACTTAATAAGTTGTCTAAGCCTATTAATTAGGTCTAATTAAGGTCATGTGTATATACATCTAGCCAACTTTACGGTACTCCATGTTCCAAACATTAAGTCAACCAAACAAGAATGTTGACTTGATGATCTTAATATCTAGATCATGATAACAATTACACAAATATCACATTAAGAAAGAACAAAGTCAAAATTATTGAGCTTCGCGGATTCTTTAAAACAAAAAGCACATTCCTACACTAAAAACTAGTTTTGTTTCTTTATTTCGTTTCTTTGTGAACACTATTAGATGTTGATTGATTCCTTTAATAAAAAAGCCAAACGAAAATCTTATCATAACTCAAAGTCGTCTACTTAATCAGTTGTCTAAGCCTATTAAATAGCTCATATTAAGGTCCTGTGTTAATAAAATATTAAAATTAAGGTCATGTGTGTACCATGCGTCTAGCAAACTCTACGTTACTCCATGTTCCCATTATATAACACATGGTGGGCATAGCAAGTCAACTCTTATTAAATAATTTGACGTCAAGATCACAAAGAGAAACGAATCACGTGAGTCAAAATAGTTGTTTACTTAAAAGTCCAATCTTTTATGCATTGTGTGTTTACACATGAAGTGGTGATGTCTGTTTCAGTCTCGAAAACGGTTCCAATATTAAATTTATCCAAGCAAAACAAGATATCGACTATTAAAAAAAAAAAGAGAATCACGATTATTCTCTGTAATCATCATTTAACTCAGGTCATTATCAAAGCGCTGTCAATTCACATCCCATGAAGTGAGAAGGCAACGGATTGGTGGAGTTTTCAATTTTTGTTTATAGATACTCCAACGTGAGTATCCAGACAATAACAGCTAAAAGTAAACTATAAATGTGAACTGAAGTCTACTTCTATGCCGAAATCATATGCAAACAAAACAAATCGACTTGACCTAAGAATCTCAACTTGCCGTGTAGAAATGTTCTTATTTTACCACAAAGTCATAGACATCTAAATCTAACGTCACTTGTATTAATTTGGCATTTTTCCAATTCAATACATTTAATCAAAATTCTTGGAGAGATAAGCCTATGATATTTCTTTCTTTAATGTACTCTCTCCGTTTCATAATAAGTGTCGTTTTAAATTTTATTTTTTATTTCAAAAAGAGTGTTATTCTGCATTTTCAATGTAACTTTTTACTTTTATTTCCTGTTTTATCCCTCATTTAAAGATAATAGTCTTTGTAATTAAATGTTATAAAATAATAGTTTTTGTAATTAAATATTATAAAAGTATATTAATTAGAGATATATTTGTATATTTTCTTAATTTCTTAATCTGTGTGAAATGTGTCAGAATGACACTTATTATGAAAGGGATGGAGTATTAATCTTTCTTGGGTTCAGTGTAAAACTTATACGAGTATTTTCGTTTTAAAGTTTAATAAATTAGCAAAATATGATGTTAAAATAAGAACACAAAATATTGAGATAATTATATGTATCTCAAGTTAGCAGCAGCAGAGCTAAAATTGTTTTTTTAATCACAAACCATATATATTATGAACAAAAGAAAAATTATATTATAAGATATCCTCCTAATAAAACGATAATCTTTTTTTTATAACAACCATTCTATCGATAATCATAACACGTGATTATATTATTTTATTTCAAAGAAAAAAAAAGAAATAATGACGGAAAAAGTATAATCTGTCTTTTTCACAGAAATCTCACAGCGAAAAGGTTTTTAGCCGTAAAAGGTAAACTATGGACGGTGATAATGATAGCACGAACGAGTTGGAATCAGTTACGATTCCATTGACTCGTTCACATCAC